CTTGTCGCAAAAAGGGATCACGTGACTCAGGGACCCAGCAATGCTTATAAATTATGAACCAGTTGCCAAGCATCTGAATTTTGATCACAGGATCATGGGGACGCTACAAAGGTTGCAACTGTGAAAAACGGCCACAAATAATTTTTGTGTAGTTTAATCCACGGCCAGTATGTTCGACCTATGGCTCGTGCTCCATAACAGAAAGAGATTCCTCCTCTCCAATTCTCACGTGTGCCTCCTCTCCTCTTTTTAAGGTGATCCAGAAATGATCTCTCCGAGGTACAAAACCATCATCCAGGGCGAAGCCTCTGAGACCGACTCGGAGGAAGAAATCATTTGTTCGGCCTCTCCTCAGGCTGCCTTTGGAAACCCTTCTGGAGTTCGAGTCACTGGAGAAGCCTCCGAAACAGACGAGGAAGACGAAGCCGGAAACTTCCCTGGATCGAAAACCGAGGCGAAATTGATCACGCCAGATTTACCGCCCCTGATCGTCTACAGGGACGAAGATCCGGAGTCTCCCACGGCAGTCGAAGAGAAGCCCGCCCTTCACATCAAACACCGGGGCCGATATAGCTCCCTCTTGCAGCAGAAGCTGGTGGAGAGTAACGCTCGCTTGTACTACGACATCAACAACACCATCCGCCAGGTCTACCAAACCGCCATCAAGGAGATTGGAGCCATTACTGGGCAGCTGAGCAACTCCCAAAACGGCATCATCAACGCTTCGCACAACATACGGCTGGTTCTGGATGACCTCCGGTCCGTGGCGGACCAAATAGACATAATTAACAGCTGCAGTTTGTTACCGGATATTGCGATAGAGGTGCCTTCGGCGCACACCTGAGAGAGACAGGCTGACTGCTTCCTGCACACGGCTGTTCAAGGGAGATTGGATGGGACCCCGCTTGTAGAGCTCAGCCGAAAAAAACTGAAACGGACTGAAATATTTGTCCAGTCTAAAGAAATCTTTGCTGCCTGTTTGACGCTGAAATCACAGTACGTCCTTTTATAATCTGGCTCCAGCCTTTAGATTGAAAACCAAACCGAACCGAGCAAAAATAAAACTGCTTTCCCTGTTTTGGAGAGAAAGGGACCGGTGCCATTTCAAGAGAGTACCTCTCCTCCCGGCTCATATTTTTTTAAATTGTACACTTGGTTGCACGAGGATGGGTGGCACTTCCTGAGCGTGTAAATGCAGCATCACTTTGGACTCGTGAAAATGTGTCCGAAGAATCTAAACTGCCTTCATTGATAACACATCGATTATTCATTTGGAAGGGAATGTAGGATTTGAGCAGGACTAAGAACAATGAGATAATTATTGATTTCATTCATGGAGGGGCGGGGTGTGAATCAAAGGAGCTATAATCTGTAAATCCNGAATTCCTGAGCCGGCATGCATGGATTTCAATGCCAAAAACTCTCTGGACAACATGTGTGCACTTCAACGCCTGGCTGGCTGGCTGGGGAATTCTGGGAGTTGAAGTCCACCCGTTTTCAAGTCGTTGAGATTGAGAAAGGCAGATACACTGAATGGGCCACCGACTGCTTCATTCTCTTTTGGGTTTCTTAGCACCTGCTGACGCCCAGCTAGTGCCGCTCAATTTTCTTCCTGACCACTTCAAAGTGAATGCAGGAAGTAGAGAGTAGCATATGGCGGTTTCGTTTTCGCACCTTTTTATTTTCCACGCTGCTCAGGATAGCAGTTTTTTTTTTATTCTTCCTTCCCGATTCTGCACCGCACTCTTCGCTTGCTGCATAAACAGGGGGAAGCGGTGTGGTTGAGAGAAGGGCTGGCAGGACGTGGCTTTGTACGAGAAGTGCTCATCAACAGCCCTTCTTCTCCTTTCTATACAAACACGAAACATCCGGTCACCGGGGATTCAAGAGGTTTTTTTTGCAATGGCCACCTTCATCCTTAAGCCAGCCTTCCTCGACCTTAAGATGGGTGGACTTCAATTCCTTATGAATCTCTGAATGCCACCGGGGTTGAAATTTTAAGGTTCATCCTTAAGCCAGCCTTCCTCGACCTTAAGATGGGTGGACTTCAATTCCTTTTGAATCTCTGAATGCCACCAGGGTTGAAATTTGGGGCTTAGAATTGAGAACCTAGAACTACGCCAATTAAGCTAAACCTAGTACACAAAATTCTCTGCCACAATGTCCTGCTTGCCATCAACTTCTTCTGCTTCAACCGCAATAATACGCGGGCAAACAAGAGATGCAAACTCAAAGGTAAATTTGCTCCAAACTCGATTGCAGAAAATACGACTTCGGCAACAGAGGGGTCCACGCCTGGAATGCCGAGGTGGCGCAGTGGTTAAATGCAGCACTGCAGGCTACTTCAGCTGACTGCAGTTCTGCAGTTCGGCTGTTCAAATCTCACCGGCTCA